ACAACAAAGTAACATTTTAAAACAGTTCACGTTTAGAATGCTATTGAAAGAAAGCTATCTGCTTATCCATACATACTTCTGTCAAACAAATGCGACTTTAGATCTGCCTGCCTTTGTGCCTGTAACATTCATACATCAGTGCTGTATGCCATGGTTACATATACAACTAGCCATAGGTTCATATGTCAGTGTTCTATGTCAGTTTTGTATGCCATTGTTACATATACAGCTAGCCGTAGATTGCTATGAAAAGTAATTGAAGTAGATCTAATTTGACCCCTAAATATGAACATATTTCTTTCATCCCTTGCTTGTAGGTTTTTTTCCATAGTGAATCAGTGGAATTAGTCTTGGCTTCTCTAGGCGCCCTTCTTTTCTGTGGATTTATCATCTATGATACACACTCGCTGATGTACAAGCTGTCTCCCGAAGAGTATGTGTTAGCTGCCATCAGTCTCTACTTGGACGTTATCAATCTGTTCTTGCACCTGTTGCGGTTTCTGGAAGCAGTTAATAAAAAGTAATTGAACAGTATACAAAGATTGTTTTATGATGTAAAAAGTTTGAATTACACTTAAATATTAAAATCACTTGTGATCTTTCTTGGCATTCTGTGTTCTTCTCCACTTTAGAACCTTACTATCTCTGTGTTATTTCCAGATTCTTGACGAGATATTAAATTTGCTTTATACTTTTTTTGTAAATTGAGGCAGGGTCTCACTGTGAAGTCCAGTGTGGCTTCTAACTCATGATCTTGCTATGTTAGCTTCCTACATTCTGGGAATGCAGGCATATTTCACCATATATATACCACCATGCCTGGCTTCTTTATTAAATTTTTAGACCTAAATTAGCCATGACTAGTTGTTCGTCTATAATTTAAAATAATATAACGAATAGATTTAGCTTTTCTTTTACTAAGTGTTTTGCATGGACATATATATGTGCACTTTGTTCATGTCGTTAGCAGAGGCTAGAAGGTGGTGCTGTGTCACCTGAACTGGTGTTAGCAGAGGCTAGAAGGAGGTGCTGTGTCACCTGAACTGGTGTTAGCAGAGGCTAGAAGGAGGCCCTGTGTCACCTGAACTGGTGTTAGCAGAGGCTAGAAGGAGGCCCTGTGTCACCTGGACTGGAGTTACAGGTGGTTGTGATGTGAAAACTGCCCCGCTGTTCATCTCTTAAAATTCCTCGTTTATAAATGGAAAATCACTGGTGGAAAATCCACTTGAGAAGTGAATGGTATTTGTCTTAATGGCAACACATTTTATGTGGTTAGGCCTTTTTATTTTTATTTTTTACTGTTGCAGTGGTATTCACATCACTGTATGTGTCCTATGCCAAGCAATGAGAGCTTCCAGACAGGAAATATACCCACAAAGAATGGAACATGTCCAACTTAGTAGTTTTTATATCACATACAGGTAAGCTGTGTGCACAAGGACTAAGAACGTAGAACTAGTAGGTGTAGAGAAACAGGAAACTCATGGGACAGAGGAAGGAAGAGGGGAAGACAGAGGGATCAGAGCACATTTGATGGCTGAAATCTTGTGGACAGAGAGGTGCAGTGGGGCCAGGCGGTTCATGGCTTTAATCCCAGTACTGGGGGGTGGGGCAGAGGGAAGTAGATCTCCGAGTTTGAGGCTAGGTTGGTCTACAGAGTGGGTTCCAGAACAGCCAGAACTGTTACACAGAGAAACCCCATCTCAGAAAAGCAAGCAAACAAAAGAGATACAGTGGGCCATGTATTTCCCTCAGATTTCCGCAGAACTGAGACCTGGTCTCTGTGGTGCGCAGTCCTGACATCTCAGCCGTCCTGGGAACGGGACGTCACCGTCTGATTGCAGAGCTCTTTCTGCTCTTGGGGATTCAGGAATCCCATGGAAAGACCTGGCTATTGGAGCCCCGCCTTCTGCCAAGTTCAGTTGTGTCACACCTTTTGGATGACAAATCAGTTGTTTTCCTGTCAAGTAGTCAGCATTACTGACTGTGCATGTAGTTCTAAAAGCTTGTTCCAGCTCTTTTGATTTTCTGTGTGTGTTGCGTGCCTGTGTACAAGCGAATGTGTATGTAGGTGCCATTCTATGTCATTCCTCAGGTGCCACCCACCTTTTTTTTCTTTCTAGTCAGTGTCTTTTGCTGGCTGGAATTTGTCTAATAGGCTGGCTGTGAGGCCCAAGGAGTCCCAGTGTCCTGTCTGCCTAGTGCTGGTCATTTCTAAGGATTAAAATCAGATCCTCTTGAGTCTGACCTCTCTTGAGCCCCAATCTTCCGTTCTAGAGTTCATGCATGCATGCATGTTGGAATCAAGGAAGGAATTAGTGATCCTAAAACAGAACAAAAGTCAACAACAAAAACCTCCATGCCGTTTCACCTCTAGAACTTTCAATTATTTAGTTCCCAATTCATTTTTTTAAAATTATTTATTATGTATATAGTATTCTGGAATGTATGCCTACATGTCAGAACAGGGCACCAAATCTCATTATAAACGGTTGTGAGCTACCATGTGGTTGCTGGGAATTGAACTCTGGGTCTCTGGAAGAGCAGCCAGTGCTCTTAACCCCTGAGCCATCTCCCCAGCCCCCTCAATTCAATTTTTAAAGGGACATAATACTAAATTGTGGAATGTATTTTAGTACCACAATAGGTTGTTTTTGAGAGTTCTAAACTTCCATTTTACAAGCTGGGTCTTAGTTTCAGTGTCTTAAACAAAGGCCTATTAATCAATAACACCCCTGATAACAAGGACTAGGGAGGGAACACTATAAAGCCTGAGTCAGCCCCACAACATATCCAAGCAATGACCAAAAAAAGGATCATTTCTGTAACCACCTCCCCAAATAGGCCCAGATTTGCCCAAGTATGCCCAAATATGGAAAAACAAAAATTAGAAATGTATTAATGTAACTGTTGCTTGTTTGAGAAATCATGTTAGAAATGATTCTAGTTGAATCTAGTTGATCATAGTTGGGCTGGAGAGATGGCTCAGTGGTTAAGAGCACTGACTGCTCTTCCAGAGGTCCTGAGTTCAATTCCCAGCAACCACGTGGTGGCTCACAACCATCTGTAATGAGATCTGGTGCCCTCTTCTGAACTACAGGCAGGATACTGTATAAATAAATTAATAAATCTTAAAAAAAAAGAAAGAAAGAAATGACATATTTGTTCCTGGAATTTACCGAGCTGTGCTGAAAAGGACCTACAGGCCTTTGTCTTAGGTCACCATTTTGTACAGATGGTAGACCCCACATGCTGGTAAATACTCTTTGCTTTTATATCCTATTTGAGCCTGGGTCTTCTTCAGCATTTTCTCAGACCCCTACATTTTCTTTTGCCAAGTTTCTGTTCAAAAGTCACAGCCTTTTGGTACATGAAACAAGAGGCTGTCAACTTAGACCATCTTTAAGGGGGCCTTTAAAGTCCAGTGTGCACTTGCTTCCTTTGGTTTTTAAGGTCACGTGTGTTTTGCCTGTGGTAAAAAAATTCAAAAATTGCTGTACTATGCATGGTTTCTACAAAAAGACACAATTCTAGTAGCAACCAAACAGGAATTTCATAGGCCATCATTACATAAACTTTTGGGGGCAGAGACATGGCTCTATGGTTAAGAGCACCTGCTGCTCTTGCAGAAGACCTAGGTTCGATTCCCAGCACCCAGGTGGTGACTCACATAGTAACTGCAGTTCTAGGGGAAGAGATACCCTCTTCTGGCCTCACCTGACACCAGACACACATGTGGCGCACATACATGTTGTGGTGGTTTGAAAGAAAATGGCCCTCAAAAGAAGTGACACTATTAGGAGGCATGGTCTTGTTGGAGGAAGTGTGTCACTGTGGGGGCGGGCTTGGAGGGCTATTTTCTCTAACTTCAGTCATTGTTACAGTCAATTGACTTCCTATTGCCTGCAAGATGTAGGACTCTCAGCTCCAGCACCACATCTGCCTGCACACGACCATATTCCCTGTCATGATGGTAATGGATTGAACTTCTGAAGCTGTAAGCAAGCCACCTCAATTACAAGTTTTCTTTGTGAGAGTTGCCGTGGTCATGGTGTCTCTTGACAGCAATAGTAAATCCTAAGACCCATATTCTGTCAGACAAAACGCTCATACACCATCAAAATAAATCCTGAAAGATATATGCTATAATCTGTATAAAACCCTGCTTACAGATAGTACTGAGTAGTTAACATGTGTTGTCTAATCACCTAGTGAAGATCAATGAATGAGGTACTACCTAGGCCACTCCTCACTCACATCTGTCACAAATGGGAAGAGACCTGTGTATCCCCAATAGCCTGGGCAAAATTATCCTAACCTTAGCTTTGTCTCGGGTATGGACCGGTTTGGACAAATCAACATTGGCTGAAACAGATCATCTTACCCTTTACATTCTTCGGGTTAGGAAAGGATTATTTTCTGTTTTGGGTGACAGCTTTGAAATATAATTGGCATGCAGCAATCTTGATATCTAAATCGTATACTTTAATATATTCCCACATACGCGTACATACTGGGATCCTCAACGGAATGAGAAATTTTCTAGACTGCAAATAAAAACCTCATTAAGGGTTCTAGGATGGTAAGCGCTGAGCAATCCCACGGGTGTCCTGTATCCGTGAGGTTATTACAGGCAGGGCCCCTGGCGGGGCTTGGCCTATCCGAGGCCTTGAGAATGGCTCGATTTATAATTTGTCACTCCCGACAGGAAATTCCTCCTGCTTTCTCCAAACACAGCGTCTTCAGCCTGAGACTCACAAACCCTCAAGGTCCACGCAGGGCTTCCAAACGTCACGCCTCTCAGGATTCCCGGCAGGTCGCGCGCCGGCCTTGGCCGGAAAGCGGAAGTACGGGGACTTCCGGCTGGCGTCCTAGGCGTGCAGTGCGGTCGTGTTTCTCAGGTGAGTCGCGTGGGCCCCGGGCTTAGTTCTGCGGCGTGGGGAGCAGGCCTTAGATCGTCCCTCTGTCGCGGCCCTGGCGTGCGGGGCTCGGGAGGGCGATGCCCGGGATCGTGATGGCGGCGGCGCCGCTCTCCCCCGGGCTGTGACTAGAGAGCCCAGGCCGAGCGCGGCCGGCTGCGTGGGTCACCGCGACCCTCCACGTGTAGTGTGGGTCCTTAGACAACTGGAGATTGCTGGTGACCAGAGGATGCTCACCTCGCGTCCCCCAGTCCGCACAATCTGCGCTCTCGAGGGCTCAGGCGGCGAATGCGAGCTGCTGAAGCAGCTTCGGGGCGAGACAGTGCTGAGCAGGGCTGGGGACAGAAGAGTGTGAGGTACCTAACAGAGCAAGCCTCGGGGAGAGCAGTTTCCAGACAGCGAACAGTGAATGGTGGACCTGAAGTGCGCCGCTGAAGCTTGCGGGTGGGGGTGGGAGGAGAGTTGAAGGAGGCTCGGGATGCAACTTGGATACCTGAAGACACGAGGGAAAGTCATTCAAGAAGTCTTTAAAAAGCTGGGCGGTGGTGGCGCACGCTTTTAATCCCAGCACTTGGGAAGCAGAGGCAGACGGATCTCTGTGAGTTCAAGGCCAGCCTGTTCTACAGAGGGAGTTCAGGACAGCCAGTACTACACAGAGAAACTTTGTCTCAAACAACAACAACAACAAAGAATTCTTTAAAAGACAGAGAGTTATGCTCTGAGCTTTTAAAAAGTTCACATTAAACACTTTGTGAAGGATGTAGGACTGAGAGATGGAACAATAGAGCAATAGGTAATTTGAAGGCGGTTTATTAACTTGGTATCTACGAAGGAGTTGTGAGAATGGATTGGTTTATAATTTGTCACTGACCCATGGGGGCTTGACCTTCTTATATTTAACCAGTATATGCTCTTCGTTGATCCTCACATAAGCTAAGCATGAAGACGGCATAGATTGCCTTAATTGCTTTCTGTTCTTCCCAGTACTAAAGATGTCTGCCCAGCCATTTCCTTGGTAAACTTTCTTCTTGTGTTTTTGTTGCTCACCAGGTCAAGCATGGCTAAAAGCTTACGGAGTAAGTGGAAAAGAAAGATGCGTGCTGAGAAGAGAAAGAAAAATGCCCCAAGGGAGCTCAACAGACTGAAAAGTATTCTCAAAGTTGACGGGGATGCTTTAATGAAAGATGTTGAAGAAATAGCAACTGTGGTGGTACCCAAACAGTGCCAGGAGAAAATGCAGTGCGTGGTGGAGGGTGAAAAGGGTGAGCTTGTGTGCTTTGTTTACATCATTAGAAAGTGGATCGGCTTTTCCTTACACTCCTTTATTATTATTATATTAGCTGTCTTCTTTCCATCTCTACTTCTTTCTGGTGTCAGATCCAAAAAAAACTGGCTAACTGTGGTGCCTATTAGATAATAAAGTGCTTGCTGGCATCCTGGCTTCTCAGCTCTTCTCCCTCTCCCTCTCCCCTAAAGCTCTCCACCTCATGGGCTTCCCTTCCCCCAGCTTCTTTTCAGCCATTCTCTCTCTCTCTCTCTCTCTCTCTCTCTCTCTCTCTCTCTCTCTCTCTCTCTCTGTTCTCTTGCTCCTTTCTCCGTCTCCTTTGTTCCCCCTCTCTCTCCTCTCATGGCCTGGTTCAGTCTACTGGCCATGTTTAGTCTACTACTTTCTCTCCCCGCTCTGGATTCTTCCAGATGCGTCTGGCTTTTCTCCCCCTCATACCTACAATAAAAAATTTCTCTTCCGCCACACTTTGAAGTGGTCATGTCCTCACTTTATAGATCTAACATACCTGTTACATTCACATCTTTATTCTTTGAGAGCTTTTATGTCTATTAGAGATTCTGTATGAAACTTTTTAAGTCAGTGTTTGGGAATAAGCATGTCTGGGTTATTTAATGGATCTCCAACAATTATGTAGCAGCCCAGATGCCCCGGGAACTGACAGAAATATAGGAACAAGCTTTGGAGAGCTTGGAAGGTTCAGTCAGGGTCTGCACAGGTGAAAAGAGGTTTTCACTATTCCTCACAAGAGCCTGGTCACATTCTGTGGCTTCGTACTTGTATTGTTACCCTGGAAATCCCAGAAGCCCACTTTTTGTTATATTTTAGAGGCCTCTGTGTGTGTTTTAATCATGGTTTAAATCAGTGCTGGTTTCTGCAGAGAAAAGGCTGGCAGCTTTTCAGGTCAATGTCCCAGTGTGGCAGCAAGCTAAATGAGGCACTCGCCATAGCTACTCTTAAAGACAGAACAGTGTTCTTAATACTCCCGCATCCCTTCTTCCAGAGAAAACCCTTCTCTTTGCTCTCTTGCTTTGTCTCAGCTGCCCTTGAGAGCTGTGAGGCACCTGGTTTAGCTTGCTTTGTCCCTTCCATCATGTGTGTACACCTCTGCTTGTCGACTCTTTTCACGGTTTTAATTACATGACCGTGACCATTTTAATTTGTGTGGTAGTACATTTAAGTACAATCATGATGTTTTACAACAGCACCTCTGGCCCCAAATCATTTTCATCCCTCTAAAAAGGAGTGCTGTTCCCATGTAGTAGTCTCTCTCTTTCCCTCCAGCCCCAAGACTGACAGCCACTAATGATTTCCTGTCTGCACAAATTTCTTCTTGTTGAGCTATGGCATGTAAGTGGGATCATGCAGTGTGTGATCTTCTGCCTCACTTTTCTAACTTAGCATCACATTTTGAATTTCACGTTTTAGTATATACTAGTACTTCCTTTTAAAGATGAATACTAGTTTGTTGTATAGATCACATTTTATTTACCTGTTGTTAGTTGGCATCTGGGTCACTTTTATGCTTGTAAACCTTCATGCCCAAATTTTTTTTAAATACCTGTTTTCACTGCTTTGGAATATGAACTTACAAATGGAATGCTGGGTCATGTTGATTCTTTGCTATTTTCTGCACCAGCCAAACGATCGTTCATCGACTGGGCATCGGGTGCCATGCGCTCCTGAGTCCTGGGGTGATCCTTGTCTCTTCTCTCCTTTGTGTGTGTTCTCTATTCCCTTCATTTGATCTTGTGGTCTTGTGGAATCTTAGTATACTGTATACTTTTGTTCTTCCAAAAGTGTTTTATTTCTAATTTTGACTATTTTCTATAGCTTTCTGCTCTTACTGGGGATATATTTTTATCTCATTGTGGGTATTGTTTGCTCCTGAAATTTGAATGGCAATTCGAGCCTTGTTCATTTTTTTTTTTAAGAGTTCCTTTGCTTTCCTCCTTGTTTCCCTTCATGCTTATCTAGCACTTCTCACATGCTTGGGGGGTTGTTGGTATTTAAATGAGGCTCTGACATTAGAAGAATTCTCTCATTTTCTGCCTGAAGAATGTGTTGATGCTCTCATTTTGTAATATTTCAGAAGCTAAGTAGGGATAGAAGTAAGTGAAGATGAGGGGAGTCTTTCTGTCAATAAAGCTGGGTGCATCTACCCTCACGTACAGGATTCCCTTCATGCCCTCCTGCAGCTGCATCTACCCTCACGTACAGGATTCCCTTCATGCCCTCCTGCAGCTGCCTACCCAGTTTTTTAGACTCCTTTATCCTCTGTGTCTAAGCCAATGCATTTCTTGGTATACCAGAACTGCATGGCCACAGTGCTTGCCCATCCTTGATACGAGTCTTTTTACTTTCCTCTCTCCTCTTCCTCCTTTCTTATTTCTACATGTCAACATGTTGATCTTTTGAAAATACAAGTCAGATTTGGTCACTTGCTTCCAGAACTGCAGAGATGGTTCAGTGTTGAGAGTTCTTGCCGAGTTCATTCCCCAGCTCCTACCTCAGGGTTCACAGCTGACTGTGACCTCTGCTCCGGGGGGGCCCGGCAGCACCGCCTTCTTTCCTCCCGGGGGACCCACGCATACGTGCACGCTCAGGTGGGCTCAGGAGCGTGCACAGCAGTGGTGATCCTGTCTGACTTGGTGGAGGAGCCGAGGAAGGCTGTACCAGAATGTCTCCTTCTGATTTCAGGCTTCTGTTGTTCTGATGTTCCTGCTGCATTCGTGGGCTTTCACGGGGTTGTTTTTCATGTATGAATGCTAATAGCTTTTCACTTTATTGTTGTTTTTAATTTAGATGACATGAAAATGGAGACTGAAATTAAGAGAAACAGAAAGACTCTTCTAGACGAACATGGACAGTACCCAGTGTGGATGAACCAGAGGCAGAGGAAAAGACTGAAGGCAAAGAGAGAGAAAAAACGGGGGAAAAGTAGAGCCAAGGCAGCCAAGGGCCTGGCCTGGTAGACCTTACAAACTGGAAAGAAGCTGGCTGGGCAGTGGTGGCACACGCCTTTAATCCCAGCACTTGGAAGGCAGAGGCTGGCGGATCTCTGTGAGTTTGAGGCCAGCCTGGTCTAAAAAGCAGATGCCAGGACCGTTACACAGAGAGAATCCCTGTCTTGAAAAACCGCAAAAAACAAACGAACTGGAAAGTATTCATGGGACAGAAGTTCAGTTGTTAGGATTGTCTTCAGCTCTCTCTGAATGGAAGTTCTTTGTTTAAATACTTTAGTTTCATCTTACACCTGTACTTCCAAACCAGAATAATTCATTCGTTTTGGAATTTGAATAAACTATTTTCTGTGATAAAAGAAAATTGGAAGTTGCCTGATGTTTGAGTATTATCAGACACCACAGTCTTGTGAGCATCGCTGTGGTTAAAATTATTTGATCTTCCAAAATGGCAGTTATAATCAATGCCTCAGATTAAACGTGCTCATATGAACAAAATTTGGACAAAAATATTTTAACATAGCGTCTCAAGGGGCTCAGCAGTTAGGACCACACACTGCTCTTGCCGAGGACTCCTGCTTCATGTTGAGTGGCTCCAAATCAGCTCCAGGGGGTTCCCCTCTTCTGGCCTCCGCGGGCACCTGCGCTCATGCACAAGCTCCCCACGCAATCCTAACTTAAAAGATCTTGAGAAAAAGGATGGAGTAGATTATTTACTTTGTGTTTTTTCTATAATTCGCAATAAAAGATATTTTATGTGTAGATCTTAGATTTTGACATTTTCTTTAAGGTTTCCAGCTACTGAGAAGACCATGTCTCTCATTTAGGTGAACTCTACCATGTACAGATGAGTGTGCTTTCTAAGTGAAAGCAGCATGGGTTTTTTTCTGAAAACAAATGTTCTGCAGGTTTTGCTTTTTTCTTCTTTTGGTATTTTGAGATGGGGTCTTTCTGTGTAGCCTTGGCTATCCTAGAACCAGCCCTGTAAACCAGGCTGACCTTGAACTCAACAGAGTTCCACCTGTCTCTGCTTCCCCAGTGCTAAGATAAAAGGTGTGTGCCACTGCTACCAGGCGGTGTAGTTTAGTGTTATAAGTGTGTTATTCAGAATCAGTTACTCTGGATGTTTTGAGTGTGTGTGTGTGCACATGTGCACGTACACAAACATCCATCCGTCTGGGAAATGGATTATACATAAACACAGGTGTTAACTAGCTTAGTGTTAGTGTTGTTTAATGGAAGAGACCTGACATTAGCAGACTATTCTACTCTGAGTCTCTCTGTACCAGCGAGTTGAGTTTTGGTTGAGTCTGTCTCAGCATACTTCGTGAATTCCAGTCATTTAAGTTTGATCTAAATTTAGCCTTCCATCTGAAATTTCACTCTTCAGATTCACCACATTATGTGCTGAATAAAATCCGGGACTTTGTAAATATTAGGAATGCTGAGAGCCGTTTACCTGTTCAGGAAAAAATTAACTTCACATGGAAAGAAAGGAATAGAATATGATTGCTTGGCTCTGAAACCATAAACTGCTGGATACACTGCTGAGCATGACTATGACCAAGTACTACCAAGTAAGCCACAAAATATGCTGGATGCTTAAAATTAGTATAGTAGGCCCTCAGTTTACTCAGTAGTTCATCAGAAAGTTAGTGAATAATTTCAAAAGAAAATGCATTTTTCTGAAGGTGGCAAGAAAGGGCTAGCGCTGTAGTTCAATAATAGAACATTCATCTCCAACATCCACAGAGCTCTGGGTTTGATCCCAGTACTGATGGTGTGTTCAAGGTCTTCGTTCCCACTCGTAGCTGTGAGGGGAGAGCAGATGCAGAAGTGAGGAATAAAATGCTGCAGACATTAAAGCCACCTACACTAGGGTTGCCCTCTCTCATCATGGGCGCTGTCCATGTTCCTGCCGCACCCTTAGTTGTCATTTAGTTTAGCAGCATCGTCGGGTTGCTGGAGTTGAAGACATCACTCCCAGGTATCTATACACATTTTTCCTGCAGCTCACAACTCAAATTTCATTCCGCTGAAAAAAGCTTGGCGCTCCCGTCCAGAACGTTTCCATGATGTGAGGCTGCTCACTACAGTTGGTCACCCCAGTTCTAACTTAAAAGATAGAGACTGGGAGACTGTTGATAAATGCTTACCACAAAGGTATAGGCACCCAAGTTTGGGTTCCCAGCACCCACATAAAGAGCCAGGCTCCAGAGCATGTGCCCTTTTCCTGGGGAGACAGAAGAGAATTCCAAGGTGTAAGTAGTTCAAGGTCAGTTACCAGGCAGCTATTCAGAAGAAACGTGACCTGGAGCCACCCAGTCTGAGGAAATGAATGGTTCAGTGAGAGACTTTTATCTTTAAAGGAAGTTCTGTGAAAGAGCAGTTGCTGGAAAAAAAAAAATGCCAGTTGAGGCTGCACACACAAACACACACACACACACACACACACACGCCCCCCGCCTCAGTTTACCAAAAATGCTTGGAAGTCATTTCTAGTAGGTCATGACCTCATGGCTTTTGGTTAGGTGACCGCTGTAGAGAAATCATTACCTTCCACCATTGTGAGTGGGCCTGAGCCCCCGAGTTCCAGACTGTGATGTGTCCATTTCAGATTTTGGCGGGAAACCTAGAATGGAATTCCAAAATCTATTCAGGGATGTGATCAGTTCTTTGTCACTTTATTTCTAAAGGCAAATACACGGAGAAGCACAGTGTAGTACTTTAATTTTTTTATGTAAATAGCTACAAATTTGTCTTTGATGCTTTCAGGAGAATTGCTGGAATACCACCAGGGGGTGCTCAAGACAAGCAGCAAATCACTTGAATTAGCCTGAGGCTTGAGAAACAGAATGGGACTATGTTTGTGCTCTTAAGGAGATTAAATATACACCGGGATAATGAAATATACATTTTATTATTAATAATTAATATTAAATAGTACTATTTAATATTATTAGCTCATCTAATTCAGAACCTATGATTCTGCTGCTAATATCTGTACTCAAGGAAACTGAGACACAGAGGTCATGTAGCTAAAATCAGGACAGATGTTCCAAAGAAGCATTCTCACAGTGATTCTTGCCCAAAAAACTTTCTCCGAGAGAAATGGCGTTCTTAGCACAGAGTGCTTGTAATTTGGTTTAATCCGTGATGGGATTGGGATGAACAGGCTCGGGTTAGATAAAGAACATGCTTGAGTAACCAAATGATTTATAGAGCCCTTCTCACACCTCTGGGTGGAAGCTGGACCGGATTTCTTTAAGGAACCCTTCATTAGAAATGTGCCTGCTGGTCCAACGCAGGTGTCACCAAAGCTTGTTAGTGACCAGACAGCTAAGCAGACGCCGTGTGACTGGCAGCTGAAGCTCTCAGGGAGAATCCAGTAGGGCTTTTGTTAATTTGTTTGTTTTTGAGACAAGGTCTTGTAGCCCTGGTTAGTCTGGTAATCATAGATCAAGCTGGCCTCGAACTTGCAGTAGTGCCTCAGCCTCCTGAGATCACAGGCATAGACCACCATGGCGGAAGACGGGCCACATTTTGTTAGATTGCTGTCACATCACGTGAATGCAGATATACGTTAGTCCCCATTAGTGCACAGAGTACTTACAACACACAGAGGCAACTGAGTGTCAGCCAGGAGTGGTGGCACAGGCCTTTCATTGCAGCACTCAGGAGGCCGAGGCAGGCGGATCTCTGTGAGTTCAAAGGCTACAGAGCGAGTTCCTGGACAGCCAGGACTACACAGAGAAACCCTGTCTTGAAAAACAAACAAACAAAAGTAAAAACTGAGTGTCTTCAGAATTTATATCCATGTGAGATATAAATTTCAGGAGTTGGAGAGGAGAAATTTATTATCTATAAGAGATTAGATTCAACTACTTGAAAGTCCTGGAGGAGCGAGTAGAGGGTGCCAGGCGGCTTAGCGCTGAGAAACATCGAACAGAAAGAACATCCAGGGATCTGAAGACCCCAAGAACTGCCACATGGAGGCTGTGCCCAGCTATAATACAGATGTTACGCTATTGACTAATCTTACTAGGGAAGGACAATTAGCAGATTCAAACTTGTGCTAGCCACATGTATTTTTTTCTGTATTTTCCAGCATATAAAAATCTTCATTGCAGCAGATACATACCACTCTTATAAGAATATGTTTGCAGATGACAGGGGACTTTCAGGTACTTACATGACATCAAAAACCACCCTGCATCCCCAGGACCCTGTTGGGCTCACAGAGGTCAGGTCAGGTTTGGTTCCATTTATAAAAGGAACCATAAGGGGCTGGAGAGATGGCTCAGCGGTTAAGAGCATTGCCTGCTCTTCCAAAGGTCCTGAGTTCAATTCCCAGCAACCACATGGTGGCTCACATCTGTAATGAGGTCTGATGCCCTCTTCAGGCATGTAAGTAGACAGAATATTGTATACATAATAAATAAATATTAACAAAAAAGAAAAAAAGGAACCATAAGATTTACATCGTTCGGGACGGGAGATGGCTCCACGGGTAAGAACATTTGCTGTGAAACATGAAGCTCTGAGTTCAAATCCTCGGCACCCGGGTAAAAAGCCAGGCATGGTCTCGTGCTGTTCATCCCAGTAGTGTGGGAGACAGGTCCAGCAATGGGTTGTGGGCTTGCTGACTGCCAGCCTAGCGCTATGTTCAGTGGCAGGCCCATCCCAAGGAAGTGAGACAGAGGATGATAAAACAAGATACCCAGTGTCCTCCGCTGGCCTCTGCTCATGCACGTCACACAGACACACACACACACATACATATGCATGCACGTGTGCACACTTTGTATATGGCTGATTGCCAAAAGATTTAGTTTTGCTCTTCCTTTAAGGCAGAGGAAACTGCAGCGTGATAGCAAATATGGCTCAGCTGATAGGATCATAGTGAGAACAAAACATTTAAAGAGTGTGTATCCTGCTAAATGCACTGATTATTGGATCTGTGAAGCAATGCAGAGAAGTTAATACTTTTGTCCCTCTTCAAATGAGCCGTTTTGGAGAGGAAATGTCCAAAGTCTAGCACAATGCTGTCCTCAGTAGTAGAGAGTCTAGAATGGAGAATCATACAGACAGACTGGTCCCATCTCCAGAGAAGTCTGTATCTAGCATGCCTGGGCAAGAAATGGCCAGCTAAGGCTGGGTGGCTGTTTGGCCGGAATGTAGTTGAAGGATTCAAACACTGAACTTTCAGGTTGAAAGCCATTGTTTTCCAGCCTAGGAATACCATGGAGAAAGCTGTGCTTAGCATATTTTATACTGATTTTGCTCTCTCCAGTCTTTTGACCTTCCATGATTATAAATTTCAATATCTCTATAGTAAAAAAAATAATAACAAATCTGAAATCT